AGCAATCTTTTCAGTTTCATCATTATTAATTGTTTTTAACATCATGCATTTAAAATTTCAACTAAAATTCTAGCACAATATTGTTGCAGCGATATAAATACATAACAGGATTAAACAAAAAGACATAAAATTTAGTTTCTACTCCTTCTGTGGAGAGGAGGGGAGCAAAGTTCATGTTTTTGTTGCAACCATTTCTAATAGCAATCCTGTCGTTTCAGTTGAGCAGAAAAATTAAAAATAGCTGTTATTTTGTTGTTGTTCTTGTGTCATTATTATTACATACTTATCAATACCATCATTATAATTTTTTGTTTGTATCCTTGATAAATGATAATAACAATAATATTGTAGTGAATCATGGCAGCTCACTGTTCAAAGAAATATTGAGCTTTTGAATTCAAATGGCTTGGAGGAGTCATTTTATGTATAAATGGACTGATGCTAGAGCTTTTATTCAGTCTTCCTTTTAATCATTATGAATACTAAGAAAAACGCAAGTGTTTTGTAATGATTGTAGCAGCTAATTTTAAATTATTAAAAACCAAACAAAAAGTATAAAACTAACTAACTAGTCTCGTTGCCCAGCCCCTTTGCTTTAGAGGCAGGACATGAGACTACTAACTAACACTCATCAAACTCTAATAAGAAAATCAAAAACAAAAAGTATAAAACTAACTAACACACATAAAAATTGCACTCATTGTTCATTGTTATTCTTTTTATTCCTTTCGTCTCTTGACAAAAATATTTGAAGTAGTGCCTTCAATGTCAAGATGCTTTTCTAGTTCATCAGAAGCAGGTTCATCATCAACATAAACTGAGAACTCAATCAATGGAATTATTCTGGAATGGAGCATATAAAAATCTTGTTGTAACTCAACAGAATCAATTTCAGCTTTTGTTATCTATAATAATAATAATAATAATAATAATAATAATAATAATTTTTTCTTCCTATTAACAGGGTCCTCCCTTTTGTTTTTTTTGTGTCTTTCTGTCACCATTGTATATAATAATAATAATAATAATAATAATAATAATAATAATAATAATAATAATGATAACAATAATAATAATAATAATAATATTGATGGGTCTCTATAACTATTTTCCCTCCTCTCTTTTTCTTATTCTTTATTTATTTATTATTATTTATTTTATTAATTATTTATTTCTTTTTGTTTCTCCTTTCCCCCCCTTTTTTTTCCTTTCCCCCCTTTTTTCTCTCTTCATAATAATAATAATAATAATAATGATAATAATAATAATACTAATTCAATTGAAAATGATTCCTATCATAGCATAAGGTAGTATCCCATTTATTAATACTAGAATGATACTATACCTCATTAGGTATGAGAGAGAGTGGCGATATCTTCCATCCTTTGATTTTTATCGGATTTTTAAACTTACGAAGTCCCATTGATAACTCTTGGCCATCATTCCTGTCTGTAAACAAAAACGAGTGAGACTCAATCATGCCAATTGACTCAGTTTGTGCATACTATAAATAAAAATAACATCATGTACATGTAAAACAATATGCACCTTCAAATGAGCATTTAGGCATTTAGTGAATAGTATACTCATAGTCCAGCAGTTCTTATATTCTTTGACATAAGAACATTGACTAGCATACTTCACTGATGTATCCCTCCTATAATGATAATAATAATAATAATAATGCTAACAATATAAGACTAATTGTAACTAACATAGATCCTTTGTACAAGATGCAAATAAGACAGCTGTTACGGATCTTTAACGAAGCATACGTCTTTCCTATAGGAAAATTCCCACCATCAATGCAATTGAATGCAAAGACTTTCTTTTCTAAATCAACAACAGCAGTTGCAAAGCACATTTTCCGGGGAGTGATGTCATCGTTTAAAACAACACAATGCTCTAGCTTGATGGTGGCATAAAAATCTGGAGGTAGCTCTCCTGGTAGTGTAATATCATATATAGCACTAACAATAGTACAGCCATCAGGTAGAGAAAAAGGACCACAGAATATAGTGCGAACATTAATGGTCAACTGCTCTTGAGTGAGAGCTAGTACATTTAACTCATATCCTAAGTCAGCACTTTCAATTGTGGATTCAATTCCTCCTTCTATTGAATGCTGTTGTAACTCAATAGTGATGCAAGTACCTAATAATGAATTTAAACTATAAACATGCACACATTATATGAAAAGGACAAAATACAGTACCGCTCAAAACCCAATAAAACATAATAATTATAATGCTGTTACCTTTCAGCATGTCTTCAATTTGCTTGATGAGCCATTGTACCACTTGATTAGTATCAGTTTTACCAGTCTTATCCTTTGAAGACTGGTGTATATTATAACTATGATATGCAATAAATCCAATATCAATTGGTACCGTCACTGCTAATGAAACCCCAGCTAAGACTGCACCAGCAACACGTGCTCCGGTACGCAGAGCAACAGCTCCAACCTCAGCAGCTGACTCTATTCCAACTGCAATGCCCATACCAACTCGACCCACATTAGCAATACCCTGAGCCCCTCCAGCTGCAGCATTTCCCGCCATTCCTCTAGTGCTGAGTGCAGACTGAGTACACTTTACCATAGCAGCATCATACTTCTCAGCAATTTCATTGATAATAATACTCAACTGCTGATCAAGGCTAATGTGGTCTTGGGCTGATTTCAGTTGTTTGTTTTCTAGAATTTTTCTAGCAATAAATGCTCCTACCCCTCCTAGTGATGCAGTAGCCCCAACCAGACCACCAGCAACTGATAGGCCTACTGATGCACCAAAAGTGACTGGAATCAGAGCAAGACCAAGGACCACCATCCCACCTCCTAGCACTAGACTGGCTGATGATGCAGCTATTCTGGCTATCCTCTCATTGCGGACTATATCCAATACTTTATCTTTATTTTCTGATATAACACTGATGGTCTCAGAACGTATTGGGTGCCACATAGAGCGGTATATCTCTAGCTGCTTCTTGTAGTACTCTTTCTCTGCTCTATAAGAAATATAATATAAAAATACATTTTAAATAGCAAAAAATAGAAGGGGATGAAGAGAAAAAAAAAGAGTAATTAGCTAACCTCAAGTTGAAAGGTATATATGGTGAAGGTAGAACAAACTTGTCAGTAAATCTATCAATGTACATGCAGGAAACCTTTATGTTATCATTTCTGTTACATTCTTTTCGAATCTCCTCGAAGCATTTTTGTATGCTGGCCCCCTCCTTCAGGTTATTTGTAACAGTGTCTAAAACCACACTGCTATTCTTCTGGATTACTGACGTTATGAGAAGAATAGAATTTTTAGAAGGAGTAGACGAAACCTGAAGTTTCTCTTTGGGCTCCTGGTCATGGGCTAAATGAAAGTAATAGATTTTTGGTAATTGAGCAAAAGGAGATTGATCATTTTGGAGGCACTCAAAAAATTTTTCAGCATCGATTATTTCGCTGTTGCAATCATAAAGGTGTCTGGTCTTGCCCTTACAAAGGAAAACGAAAGCAAATGTGGCCAACTGAGAGTGATCAATGTGATGAAGCACTTCCAGTAGAGTGTTGATTGATCGAGAACTCAGGAACTTGAAGTAGAGGGTACAATACCCAAGGGTATTAAGGGCTTCTTTGATTTTCTGAGCATCGTCATCAATCATCTTAGTCCCTTCATCTTCTTTCTTTACTTCGCTATGATTATCAATAATGATAGCCAAATGGATCTCTACAAAAATAAGACAATAAAAATTTAATAATATATGTATACATATGATAGACAACAGGCATCAGAATAAAAAAATCAAATTATTACTTATGCACACATGTACATGTACTTACTGTCATTTAAATTCCACAAGCTAAAATTGTGTTTTTTCTTTATTTGCGAGTGAGTGAATTTTATCAAGTTGTGTAGCCAATTCTCTTGATCAGGAAGCTTCATTGGGTTAGGATTAAAATATGTTGGCTTATAATAGCCAGCTGGTACAACCTCAACGACCAAATTATCAATCTGTAGGCGTTGCTTTAAGAAAGCATTGATATCAGTTGCACGCAGTTGCACTCTATGAGCAAACCTCTTTCTTAATAACCTTGCCCATCCCTCTCTATCTGAAAATGGAGGCTCATCATCTTTCTCATCTCGGCTATCCCTCTTTTCACAGTCTTCTTTGTTAGCAAAAGTGAGCACAATTACAACTCTCTTCAAAAAATCAGAACCAAACGCTTGATGCAGTCTACGGAGAGCTAACGTATCATCGCTATCAAGCCTGTGATTGGTCATCTTCATGCAGTAGAGCACAAGGCTAACCTTCTGACAATGAGCCTTTATTTCTTCTATGTACAGCTGTTCATCAGCATGTATGTCCTGCAAACCAGGCGAGTCTATAACCCTCACTCTGACACCTGGTATCAGCTCAGGATGAACGTAAGAGTGACATGATTTGGTACACATGTCTGCCTCTGCTCCCTCTTTTGCAATCTCTCTTTGTAATTCTATCAAGCTGTTAATAAAAGTTGACTTCCCCTGGCCGGTTTTTCCCACCACAAGCAGATGAATGTCTGACGAAGTTCGTTCACTTGTCAAGATATGCTTCATTGTAGACATGCCTACAAAAATAAGTTTAAAAGTCCTGGCTGCAAAAGGACACACCACTCTGGTCACTCCTTTTCAATTGTCTGTCCCTTCCATGTATGCGCCCATTAATTTCTCCAATAGTTTTATAGTTTCTGACATAATTATTACAATACTTATTGGCAATGTTTGAGTTTATGCTCACTTAGTTAGCCCCAATCATGCATACATCATTCTATTAAGCATGTACAGTACAAGTAGACTAATCTCATTTTTGTACTTTATATCACATAAAACTACATTCCAATACATTAAATGTTGGATAATGAATGATAGTTACTTTTGTCATCATATTTTGATAGATCAGTAATATTATCAGAAACTGTTAAACGATCGATTGATTCAGTATCTGAAAACAATAATGAATGTATTATTAATAGAATCAGTGGACTGACCTTCTCCATCATCTTGATCACTTAGTAGCATTGGCTCAGCCATTGTGGAAATATGAAAGAAAGATTTTAACAGAGCTGCTATTGTGCACTTGCAGTAACTAAAAAACTCGCTCTCTTTATAGTCGCTACGCAAAACATCACGTGAGCACACAGTCACCCACACTCGCACCCACACAAAATTCTAAATTTAGAAACATTTCTAGGAATCATGATCCTTAAAAACATTTCTAAGAATTGTGATTCTTAAAACATTTCTAAGAATCATACCATTGATACCAACAATAAGCTAGAGCAGTTATCTCAAGCCAAGTAACACTATGAACTTTATAAACTGTCATAGGCAAGTGCTGTTGCTAGTCCCAGTTTGTCCATATTTGGTCTTTTTGTCATGTAATGCTTTTTTCTGGGGAAATAGATCTAATTCAAATAGTCTTTCTAGTTTCTAGATATTACTTTCCCAAAAATATCTACTTTGGTGGGGAAATATTAATTTTGGTGAACTCACCACTTGCTATAAATTAATTATTCTTCTGAGTTCTCACTAAGACTCTTCTAATGCTTCTGGAGAAGTCTCTAGACAAACAGACAGTATCCATATCTGATTCTCTGTGTTTTTTAATACAGCCTTCATGCTTTGCATCTCTCGATGATTTCATGGTCCCCGGGCCGGGTCAGTGGGTGGCTGGGTGGGTCCATTCCTGTCAACATAAAAAAAATCAATAATCCTCTGCCCATAGCCTCCTAGAAATGGCGGAGTCGGAGCTTGCAAGCAAGTTAAACAGGCAACAGCAGATAAACGATGGAGAAGTAAAGGCTGCTAAAGTCTCCCAGTCAGTGTATGCAGAGTTTAAAGAGTTTTCTATACAAGAAATCAAAGAATACAGAAAGATATTCGTAAAGTAAATAAATGAATGCTTGTTTACATTCATACTAATGCGCTTTCTTTTTCAGATATGATGTAGATAAGAGCGGTTTTATTGATTTTATGGAGCTTAAGCTGATGATGGAGAAGCTGGGAGAGCCCCAAACCCACCTTGGACTAAAGGCCATGATAAAAGAAGTCGATGAAGATCACGACAATCAAATTAGCTTCAGAGAGGTATGGAAAAAAAGAAAAAAGTTTCCTCTGTTTCTGTTTTGTGTACCCTTTAACATCTGCTTTTCCTTGTACCTTTACTCCTCATTCTTATGTCTCTGGCATTCTTCTCCATTGTTCTCATTCATGTGAAAACATTTATCATGTTTGTGACCATAAAAGGAAGTTCTATGCCCATACATGTCTTGCTTGCAAGGAGTCTACTATAATCTAATTTTATTCCTTATGTTTATTATAAATAAAATATCAAATTCCCTTATGAGTTGCAAACATAATAACTTCTTAATTAAAAAATTTGGTCAAAACCTAAATATTAGGTATAAAATTACCCACAATTTTTATTACACTTTCCGTTGCGTATGCTGTGTAGCAAGCTTGAGCTGATTCCGACTTCAATTTTTGAGTTACGGCCATTTTAAGAAAATGTCAAAATTCTGAAAAATACCCAAGGCTATAGCCCATGGTTTTTTTTCCAAAAAATGGCTCCGAAATCACGCCAAATTTTTATCACATTTTCTGATACATATTAATGTCCTTATGCTATGTAGAAAGTTTGAAGTGTTTCCAACTCCAATTTTTCAAGTTACAGCCATTTTAAGAAAATGTCAAAAATCTGAAAATACCCAAGGCTATATAGCCCATGATTTTTTCCAAAAAATGGCTTTGAAATCACATCAAATTTTAATTACATTTTCTGATACACATTGATGTCCTTATACTGTGTAAAAAGTTTGAGGTGATTCTGATAAATAATTTTTGAGTTATGAGCATTTTAAAAATCAAACAAGCTTTTGAAAAAACAGCAAAGGCTATGGGTAGCCCATGGTTTTTCCAAAAATTAGCTCCGAAATAACCCCTTGAATAAAATGCCCCTTACTCCCTTTATCAATTTCCTGTGTTTACATAAATTTCTGTGTATAAAATTATATTCAACTATTACTAAGATTTATTAAGATTTACTAACAATGACTCCACTGCTTTCCTGCATAATAACTTACCACCATTCCATTATACTGTGTGTGTATGTATTTATGACTCATGAATGAACTTTGTGTTTTTTAGGCTAAATTACAGTACAGTTGAAGATCAAGTATTTCAGATTCTGAAGAAGTGGAAGGTGCTTACTTATCGTCCCATAGTTTCATTACTTGAGGACTCGCTGAGGATGGAAGGTTTCATGATATCAGTCCCTCATATTGAGTCCATTGCTTCAGCAATAGGAGGAGGAGGTAATGGAGATGTACATTATTTGTACTCTCAAATTAGGAATTAGTAGCTCTATTTATGTACAAGTATAATCATTTATAATGTATATATGTGTGCATGTTTAGTATTATGCTTAAAATTTTAATCAACAAGTAAGCATTAAAATCTATGTCCCAGATACATGTACATGTACATGTATGTAAAGGGCAAAATACAATGTACAATGTACCTGTAATAATAAATTAGTGAATATATTTATAAGCTATTTTTATATCATATTCTCCTTTCTCTCTCTCTCTTCTTAGGTGTATCCACTCCCCCAGTGATACTGGAACATCCTCAGTCATTATACGCTCCATTCAACAGTAAAGTCTCATTAAGTATATCAGCGGAAGGGGAGAAGCTTCAATACCAATGGTACAGAAACAATAAGCTACTTCCTGGACAGACCACACCTACTTTAACGATACCCACGATCACCGAAACATCATGTGGTCTGTATCACTGTGTTGTTAGTGGTCGTCACGGAAACAGCATGAGTCGCCCCGCCCATTTAACGGTGACCCCCGGGAAATTAAACTTCCCTCCTCAGTCGAGAGTAGGAAAGTTCAGGCTGCCATTCTCCCAGAGTGAGTCGGCCATTCCCTCTTACTCTCCTCTTAAAGATCCTCAGTTCCAGTTCCCTCGTAGAGGAAGTGCTGATACGTTTTTTCATGCGTCCAATGATTTTATGGGATCATCTCATCAGTTCCTGCAGGGGAATGGATACGGAATCACTGAACAGTTTGAAAATATGAAACTTGATAAAAGTACAGAATTTGTGCTTGCA